ATTTAGATATTTTAATAAGTGGAACGTTAAATATTTCGAGCTACTCGTTAGAAAATCCTTACAAAAGTTTCAAAAATGGAATATTAACAAACTGCTGTTAGACTGCAAGTACAAATTGTAAGAATGTATTTTATTTTTATTATTATTATTATAAAAAGGGGATGGGTATTAGGATCTGTAGCCGACAGAATATATGCTTTTGTGCTATAAATATTAGTAGAATTTACTTACACCCCTGTCACTTTAATTACAACTATTAATTAAATATTGGCAATAAGGGTTGACCAGAATAAATGATCAGATCTTCAATTATATGTACAGCCAAAAGCACGGTCGCCTTTACACAAATTATAGTGTATTTTCCGGTTATTATAATAATGTAACTACAAATTCTTGATTTGAATTTGATGCTTCCAATCATTAATACATTATTAATTCTTTACTTTTGTAAAGAGCATCTCACTTTTCTTTTTTATTCAATAGGAATATAAGCTCGCTGATTTCCTTTTTTTTTTCTCTCTCTCTCTTTTTTTAATTAAACTTACATTTTCTAGTTAATCAATTGGCTCGTTTTTTTTTTTTTTTTTGTCAAGTATGGATAAACCCTTTTCTTTTTCCTCCTCCGTCATTCTGTTTTAAGTTTTTTTTTCCTTTCTTTTTTTTTTCATTCCTGTTTTAGGTGAATTATCATTAGAGAAAAAAAAAACTAGAAAACGAAATCATGCCTAATATGTGAAGCCATGTAATGTTTTCGTTTTCTAGTTTTTTTTAATAGAAAGATTTCTAAATATCATTACCTGTTCCTATTATTTCATTCTTTTCTTCTTTTGTTTTTTTTTTTGGCCTTCTTCCAAGTACAATTCTACTTATAGTGCGTCATATTAAAACAATGATGGAATGTTTAGTCATTCAAAGAGTTCTCGAGACAGTTGATAATCCTTCGTGATTATGAAAGATTTGTGTGATATGGACGAGCATATCATCCATCAATTAACAATCATTGTTTGTTTGTTCTCAAGAAATTCTCTCCAAGTCATTTCTCTTTTGCTTTTGCTTTTAATAATTAACATACATATATACAGAAAAGTGATTCTTTAAAGAGACTATTTTGAAAATTCGAATGGATTTGGTCCTTTCCTAATGGCTATGGAACACAAAAATTACGAATTTAGAAACCCGCCTGCTAGATGTTTCTGATCGATAACTCCATAGTCAAACGGAAAAAAAAAAAATTGAAAATAATCTAGAAACATTAAGGAAAACCCAAGCACGCTTCCTTCTTCTTTTTTTTTTTTCTCTCAAAAATAAATACAAGCTTTTTCGGACTTGTTTTTTCGTTTTTATTAAGAGGATCAATAGCAGTTTATGACTCTGAACCCGTAATCTCTCGGTTACAGATGAAGAAACATCTTACCAACTAGACATTAAAATGTTTCGCTGTCTAAGAAATGTCGAGCTTATCAATTGTTATTAATATTTTTTTCCCTAATATTTCCATACGTTGTCAAGATGTGCACTTGGCTTAAGATTCCTGCCTTTTCAGTTGATATGATAATTGTAATGAAACTCAATGGAGCTCATCTTTTTATCAATAGTTTGTGTGGTGGCGAGCTGTAAAGAAGGATCTTAACATGTAAATGAAAGAGTCAGTGATAGGTGCAGGAAAAGGACGTATACCTACAAATTCTTCGTCTTCACAAGTGTCTAGCTTTACTGATTTTTATTGATCATAAGCTTGTAAAGTCTCTCTCTTTCTCAAGAAACGATAAGATAAAAAAAAAAAAAAAGGACTTGAATGACTTTTCATGTACTTATTTGTAGATATATTCCGAAGGCATCCATAATATCAGAATAATTGTAGATATATTCAACTGCTAAGCAGCTAGCTGCTGCTGCTGCAGCATTATTGTATTTTTAAGAGAATTTTTTTTAATTCTCTCTATGAATCTTAATTTAAATCAATTACTCGTTGTCGTAACATCAACAGGGTAAGATTTTAGTCATGGCTCATTTATTTAATACGATTCATTCGTCTGTCTACTGGATCTCAAATGATGCAATGTACATGCACCTCACTAGTAGTTCTAGCAAATCACGCTTAATCACACATAGCATCATGCAAGATGCTTTAAAAAAAAAAATGTTCCAAGTTGCACGTAGATCTTTTGGTGATTGGTGTATTTTACATTCTTCACTATAATCGTGAATAAGTGTTTGCATTGCATTTTTCTATCAAATTATTGACGATTACATTTTCCAATCATTTTTTGTAATCGATCCGCATATATCAAATTACTTATTACAGTACATTTATTCACAGAAACTCTAAAATATAGCAATCCAGACGAGAAAGTATTATTCACAAATAGCAACGCCTATTTAATAAGGCCATCACGTTGTTGCAAGATGTCACGGGGAACCCAAGTTTTTTTAAAAAAATTGGGAACCATGAACGTAAAATATATAAATGATTTTGGTCATTCGAAGATAATCTAATTTACTACTATGGGTGCATATGCAGTATAGACGCAAGTATGCTTATATGTATGTAGTTGTGAAATTACATCGATGCATAAACATACCTTCTCTTAATTCTAGGTTAAAAGTCTTGCAATCCTATAAGCCCATTTAAAATCAATGTGCACAACATTACGTTACTTATTTTTCTTTCACCTTTTAAGAGAATTGAAAGAATGGCCTTGATATTCTTCACTATCTCTTTACATTCCGAAAAATATAAAAAGTAACAAAAGACAAAGGTCCTTCAATGTTTACCGCTGTCTATTTAAATTGGAATTGATTCTTGTGTGGATTGCAGTTTTTTATCAGAAAATTACATCGTTTTCCACGATCACATTTTCCTATTACCTTTTTCTCTCGTATACATCAAATCGCTACAGTAATTTTTTCATGAAAAATCGTAGAAAATGCAATCCGAACAACCTTCATTAAGAGAGCAATTTTTTTTGGGTGCATCGGAGGACTTAATGGTCCATTAACTAAGAGTAAAATATGGGAAAGCCGCGCGCTTTCGTATCACGGCCCAACAAGTTTCTAATTTCCGCTTGTGGTTCAGCAAATCTTTGTCCACCCCCTCGCAATCAGGGTGACATTCTGGACAGGGCGAAGATGAGAAAATGAATAAGGGAAGTCATTCTCATTTTTGCCCTTCATCATCAAATCACTTAACCGACAATTATCCGAATCAGCCCTTGAATTAAGATTGGATTGGAACAAAATATGTTTTTGGAGTTTACAGTATAATTTTTATCTGTTTTTTTTTTATATCTATAGCATCCATTTTTCAGATTTATTCTTTGATATCTGTGTATATTTGATGGTATAACTTCTATCATTAGTGTAAATTTTAATGAAATTATGATGTTTTATCCAAAAAAAAAAAAAAAAAAAAAACTTTGCTGCGCACTATTGATCGAGCTTTTTGTAGAAGGAAATAGAGGAAGCTTGATTGCAATAATTTGGTAGCACTGAGTATCTATAATCATGTCGTGATAATATTAGTAGTGGGAACAACCCATCACAAAGTGTACCTTATCAAACGGTACGGTCTAAACTCTTACCATTCTTTATATCTGTAATTCGGTATAATTAAAAGTTCGGAGCAAGAAAACATGTTCAACAAAATTACGCCTATAAATTCGTACGTGAATGGTAAAAATATATTTGAAATTCATGGAATTAAAAATATGGTTAAAACTACTATATATATATATATTTAAAAAAAAAAAACTTATGGTATATTTATACAGATTTAAACTCTTGACCTCGTGTATAAATTTATTAAAGTTTTATCGCCTCTTTACCTTTATATATAAATTTATATAATTATGTTATATGTGGCTATTATTTTGTGTATAATTAGAGAGATAAATTATTGTCCTTAAATTTTAATTTTAAAAAAAAATTAAAGTATAATGCATGAACTATAAAAACATCAAAAGTTTATTACGAGTTTAATCGAAAAGTGCAAATATTTTTCAGAATACTTTGAAATGTACTAAGTATGAGAGTTTATTTGTTCATTCAATTAATGATGAAAAACATATATATATATATATATATATATATATATATTCTGCAAAAGAGAACGACACTACAAAAAACCGAAAGCGCGTATGATTCACTGATTTGGATGTGTAAGTGGCAGGAGAGCTTACAAGTGTGAATCCATCCAATATCAAAACAAAATCCCCAAACTGTAGAACAGAACCTACTTAAGAATACAACCAAAAGATCTCAAAAAACAAAAAAGATAAAAAGGAAATACTACTAGTTTTTTTTTTTTTTTTTGAAGAAAAAAGAAACAGCAGAAGAAGCAATAATAATGCTTAAACACACTACTATTTATTCACTCGAAGAAGTTCCCACAAATCTACATACATGGCTACTCGAAACATTCCATTTCCAAACACAAAACTTCTTCTTCACAGTCCTCTTCTCGTCTTCAAAAACCAGTAACAACAGCCCTTTCTTCCTCCATCACTTGCCACTTCCTACTATTTCTCGACTTCTATTCGAGTCTCGTAGCACAGTTGACAACTAAAGTCCTCTCTCTCTCTCTCTCTCGTCCCGCGAGTGCCGAAAATCATCGTATCGTATAGTAGAAAAGAAAAGAAGACGAATCACTTGCTAGCTTAAGTTCTCTCGTTATTCGTGAAATTTAAGGCTCAAGAACTTCTCCTACGTTCACAGAAAATGCAACCCGGTAGTAGCAGTAGCAGAGAAATGCAAGCCATGAATTCCCTCCTTAACCAACAACTCCACGACCTCCAAAACGGCCAACAACAAGCACACCACTTCGACTCGACGACGTCGTCCCACGACGACTTCCTCGAACAAATGCTTTCTTCCATCTCCACCGCTTCCTGGCCTGCTCCTGACCTTATTAAAACCCAGCCCCCCTGGGACCCTTTGTCCCAGACCCCTCTGGGTTCTCTCGAGGACCAGTCGGTTTTGTTGGCTAATAAGCTCCGGGCACCAGATCGGCGGCGCCAAAGCTTTAATGCTTCATCAACAGTTAATGCTCCCTCGGGGCCTCGCCGGAAATGGCCTCAGATCCCCTCCTGGCCCCAACGGCGGCCTCTTGGCCATGCCGCCGCTGAATTTGGCCGGTAACGGCGATCAGAATGAAGTCATCGTCGACGGGTCCCCTTTAAATCTGCTAATCCCGTGAGTTCATTTTGTTTTTCTCTGGCAGAGTGTAATTAAGGAGTCTATAATTAATTTAATTATTCTTCAGTTTATATGATTAAAAATTTGTTAGTAGTAGTATTAAATATGGGTTTTAACTGAGAATTTAATGACAGGGAAATGATGCATCAGTTCAAGCTCTATACAACGGATTTACTGTTCAACCCTCTACTCAACTTCAGCATTTTCACCACCCTCAGGTCTCTCTCCTGATTATTTTCAAATCTAAACCATCCCTACCTTTTTTCCCCCTTGTTTGTTAAAAAGGAACTTGTACTGATAAATGGGATTTCGTTTTATTTGCGTCTTTGGCTTAATTTGTACAGGGCGGAGCGATGCAAGCCCAAAATTTTGGAGCCCAGGCAATGAACCAGGCCGCGGCAAGCGGTTCAATGGGAACCGCCGGAGGAGGAGGGACGGCGGCGGCGCAGCCACGACAGCAGAGGGTGAGGGCCCGGAGAGGACAAGCCACGGATCCACATAGCATTGCTGAAAGAGTACGTTATACTAGAAGCCGTGACTTTGCAGTCCTGTTATTAGGCTAGCAGTACAAAAATTTGTTTCTTGTTTTTCGCTTGTTTCAATTTGTTTTCTAGTTTCTGAATTTTGCTGATTCTGTTTTTGGAATTTGTTTGTATAATGTGGGTGATGACAGCTACGTAGAGAGAGAATTGCAGAGAGAATGAAGGCTCTGCAGGAACTGGTGCCCAATGCAAACAAGGTGTACGCGCTAGCTACTCGCTTCAGTCTAATCTTTCTCCCTCTGTCTCTTTCTTTTGTTGACTATTAATACTACTAAGAATTAGCGATAACTTTTAATTTTTCATTGATTAAACTTCCACAAATTGTGTAACTGCTTAATCCAATGATAGTACCATAACATGAAGCTCTAAAAAATATATATATAAGAATTTACAAGCAAGAGGGTTTCTTGAATTGAAGTTCAAGGAAAATCATAGGGCGGGCAAAATAGTAGGGGTAGGACAACATTTTGTACTTTAATCATGAAGGGAGCGAGTACACTGGAGTACAGACTGTGGTAAAGTGGGGGGAGTTTGTTCAGTATATATCTTTCCGTGCGTACCTGAAAATGTAAAGCTGGAAAGCAGATAGAGTGACAGAGGGATCATTCATAATCAGATGATAGCTACTCCTCCTAAAAAAAAAAGCACAGTCCCTGACTCAGATGTACCGGCACTCCTGGTTTCTTTCCTCCCTTTTTCTTGAATCTTTTAGCCAGTATAATTATATATATCAGTACTGCTGGTATAATCTTTTATGAACAAATCAGGGCATAATATTTTACTACTAGCACATGTACAAAATTTATTCTTTGTATGGATTGTATTTTTTTTTAAATTTTTTATAGAAAAATTACTGTAGTAGTAATTTAATATATGCGAGAGATAAAAAGGTGATTTAAATTGGAATCATATGATCGCATCGTACACACAGATTGATTTAATGGATCGAACATTTTTCGTGCTTATTTTTAACACTGGAGATAAGTGTATGACTGCTGCTCACAACACACACTGCTACTATTTTTAAATGGGGCTGATACCGTGTTGTTGTTGTTGGATGTATTTGGTGGGGGATGACAGACGGACAAGGCTTCAATGCTGGACGAGATCATCGACTACGTCAAATTCCTCCAGCTCCAAGTCAAAGTACTGACTCCTAATCTCCCCCCTTTCCGCTCCTTACTTTAGTAGTATTCTATTAGAAGATGAGTAGCAGGGGTAGATGTCTGTATTTATTTATTAGAAAAGAAGAAGTGGGGAGGGATTCTTTTATTTAGTTGACAAATTCTGTTATTATTATTATAGTTTTAATTAGATGGGGTGGGGTGAACATGGGGCGTCTTATTTTGTTGTCCGAGAAAATTCCTCTCTTTGGTTGTTGTTTATTGCGAAATTCCGTGACCAACAGTAATGGGGATTGATTAAGATAATTAGAAAAGTTGAAAACCAAACCTTTTCTTTTTTCAATTTTTTTTTTTGGGGTTAATGATGATGATGACAAGTTTAAGCTGTGGTCATTATACAATATGTAACGCAGGTTCTGAGCATGAGCAGATTAGGTGGTGCTGTTGCCCCCCTCGCTGCTGATATGTCTTCTGAGGTACTTGCTACATTCTATTTCTTGCATTGCAATTTTCTAATCATTTTTTTTTTTCCAAAAAAAAATCCTGCATATAGCATTAAATAACTGCAATATATTTTTCTATTAAAACTCTAAAAAATACACAATCCACACAGAACATTAATCTATCTATCTAATGTACAAGTCTCCGTTCACCAAATTTTAGTAATTCATTATTGTTGCGTTAGCCAATCTAATCTTCTTTACCAAAAGCACCTAATTCAACTTAAACCAAAAATAGGCAGCATTAATTTACCTCTATGCTTCTTGCTTTTCCTAGAGCTAAGCTGCTAAAACAAAAAATATTTTGCATTGAGATAAGATGACTGTCTCTCCAACTCACTCCAACCTTTTAATCTTTCCAAAAACAGAAAAAAGGTTGGAGCAGGAATCGTCGACATCTCCAAAACCAACCACGCACGCACCTCTAACCTTTTTCTCCTGCATTTTTTAAAAATCAATCAAATACGCTTCTTGTCCTCCTTAGAAAACGACAATTTATCAAAAAGTGTATCACGCGTGCTCGCTTTCCACATTCCACTGCCTCCCCACCACTACCTCCCTCCCTGCCCGCATGGGCATGGGCATGGGCGGCTGGCTGATTCAGCAACCCCCGGTTTTGGTTTCCGTGCAATCAATAATAGTCAAGTGACTGCCTGCTGCATTTGGATTGTAGGTTTCCAGTAAAAAAAAATTTTACCACATTTTTGTCGTCGTCAACATATTTTTTTTTAAATCATTTTTTATTTTATCTCTTCTTATGTATTAAATCACTATAGTACTCACATTCTTCTACATATACATTCCAAAAATTGGCAATTCTAAAATGATCTAAATTTTCTATTTAAAAAAAAAAAGAAATTTAATAGTATGTGGTTTAATAATTGGTTAATTTGATTGTACATTGGTGTGTGTGTGTGTGTTGTTTGTGGTATGAATATAAAAGGGAGGCGGTGACTGCGGGAATGGAAGGAGCAGTAACGGAACACAAACAGCGTCATCATCGAACAACAACAATAATGATGGCATGACGGTAAGGAGCACCAGGTGGCTAAGCTAATGGAAGAGGACATGGGAATCGGCCATGCAGTATCTCCAGGGTAAGGGGCTGTGCCTCATGCCTATTTCTCTGGCTACGGCCATTTCTACGGCCACGTGTCACTCCAGGAATCCCATGCATCCCGGTCTCACCGGCAATGGCGCTAACACCCGCTTCTGGGGCTGGGAGGTGGGGCTAGCGGTAACGGGGTTGGTGAAGCCGGTGGGCCCTCATCTCCTAGCATGTCGGTGTTGACCGTTCAGTCAGCCACGATGGTTAGCGGTGGTGGCGGACCTGGTGGAGAGCCCTCTTCCGTCAAAGACGCGGCTTCCGTTTCCAAGCCTTGAAAGTTGGGAGTCGTAACGGCGTTGACTGTTGACTGACCCTTGTTTAGTGGAGAAAGACTGCACTGCGTTTGATTCGAAGTTTGAAACTCTCGTCGACGGCCGTCAAGTCCACCCAAATGCGTAAGCAGCACGACGCCGTATTTGGAAGTGATAGACTTGGCACGAGGAAGCGAAGCTTAACTTGAAGCTAACAAAAGTACAGGAGGACAGATCCATCTAAAATTCCAAATGAATTCCTTTTTCTTTTCTCTTTTAATATTTTTTTTTTATAAGTTTATGCAACTCACTGAGAATTATGTCTTTTCTTTTTCTTTACATTAAATATTGGTATGATCATGTGCTGGGCTTTCTTACTAATGATGTGAGGATGAGCTGTGATGATTTTGACTGTAATGGATGGTATCAGTAGTAATTACATGATTGAAACAGGATTAATTAATGAATTAAGTCAAGATAATAACTACGGAGATTAAGGATCAAAATAGGGTCTCGTGCTGCCTTGAAAAAGTCCCTGACAGCAATGGTTCACCTTAATTATCCTTCTTTTTAAAATTTTTTTTGAAGGTTTAAATTAATTATTCTGGCTAAGCTAGTACAATAGTCTGTGTCCGTGGTTCTTTAGCTCTTCAGAGAAAAGGAAAAGGGAACTGCAAGTGGTGCATGTGTGTGTGATCCATTCAGGTCAACGCTTTCTTTAGATGGAAATTAAAGGACGAAATGGAAGTGGATTTCTCACATCTTTAGGGTTTCATGGCTCTATTATTATGCTTGAGATTGCCAATAGATTCATTTGACATGTCCAATTGCATCTCATAAACTGCTAAATTATTCGACAATCCAAACATACATTAATGGTTCAGATCCATCTTGTGTAAAAATGTCCTACTTGTCTCAAGGTCAGTTTTTCCTTTTTCTCCCCTATATTTTAGTGTATAGGAGTGATTAGCGTAAACTTTAAAATATATATGGGATTGTGTGTGCGCGCGCGTGTGTGTATAAGCGGGGGGAAAGGGAATGAGGGATTAGAATTCAGAACCTTAAAATAAAATTTAGTATGAAAAAATAAATGATATAATCAATCAATTCACACAGCGTTACAATAACATTTATTAGAAAGGAAAAAGTATCAGCTTGTTATATATTTTAGTTCAATGTTTCCTCATAGAAATGTTGAAGATGGTCGTAAGGGTTCACACACTTTTAGGGGACAATTACGAAGTTAAAGGGGATACTATCAAAATTCAGAGGAAGAGAAAGGGACAAGAGTGAAGCAATTATGCTATAGTTTCGTAAAAGAATTGGACTGTGTATTGTTTGGATTGCTTTTTCTTGTAATTTTTGTAGAAAAATTATATTACAACGATTTTAATGTATGTAAGATAAAAAAGTAATTTTATAAAAAAATATATTTACGAAAAATATGAAATTTTTTTTTGAAGAAAAATGCCATTCCAAAAGGTGAGAACACGCTAGACGGGACTCCCCGCCCCCTTCTCTTACCTTTGGAGCCCAATGATGCATTAGACAACACGGGAAGCAAACACATTTAACTCACCTGCATTTACAGGTTTAATTATACCAATTGTCTCTCTTAAGCAAAGTCGCCCTTATTCTATCCTTCCACAACACGCACGTACCTTTCAAGAAGAATCCAAAAATATTCGTCTCTTGTATGGTCATTACAAAATCCAGTTCTTGTTTTGAGTAATTCGGAATAAATCCAGTGCTCTCCAGCTTATTAGAAGAAGAAGATTAATTTTTAGTGTGTACATTATATCTTGCTTTTATCATTTTCCAAAAAAGTTCCAAGTTGGTCAATTATGTAAAAGACACCCTTTGTTTTCCATCACTTTCGGACCTCTAACAGAAGCGTTTTCTTTCTTTCTTTTTTTTTTTCATCAAATTGACCCCATTCAATTTTTGCAATACTCAAGCAATTAATGACCAATTTACACTTTTATAAAGGGTAAAAAATAAAAAAAAACCTTTTGTGGTAAATCTAATATACAGAAAAAATCCTCCGTGGTTTTAAAACGTACAACACGAGACCTCATGTTTTGAACTAAATTGTAAAGATGACGGAATCCGTTAAACTTGACGGAAATGGCTTATTAGAATTTAAAAAAAAAATTATATCTAATTTTTAACAAATATACCTGTTTTTCCCCTTAACTCTTAATTTTCTTTCTCTAGAGGATAAAACAAATAATTTTGTTGACCTGTCTTTTGCTTAATTATATTAGGACATTTTTATCATTTCATCCATTTTCGTTAAGTTTAACGGATTCCGTCATCTTAACAATTTAGTTCAAAACATGAGGTCTCGTGTTGTACGTTTTAAAATCACGGAGGATTTTTTCTGTATATTAGGTTTACCACGGGGACTTTTTTGTTTTTTTACCCTTTTATAAATCATGTATGACATATATTTAAAGAATATTTAATTGTGCCATTAAGTTATTCTAATGCACGTAAACAAATTCGGAGTCATGATCAATTGATTATTGAGGAAATAGACGAAACAAAAGTTCTTAATCTGAAACTCATAGTTAATTGGAATGAATTCCAAAAGGTGATCAATTCTCCAAAAAAAAAAAATCCAAAAGGTAAGAAAATAACTAAAGCAAATAATAATAATAAAAAAACAATCCTTTTAATACGTAAATGGGAATAGACATCAAGGAGGTAGAGCTTGGCGAAATCAAACCTTAAGTGCATGGTTACAATAAAAGACTTCTGTCCTTCTTTTTAGGCTTAGAGATTAAACATTTCTTGTCAATGCTTTTGGGTTCTCAGTTTCATAATGAAAACTTGTTTCTTGTTGTTGATTTGCTAATTTCGGCTGCTTTTGAGTTCTGTCCAAATCGTCCAATTGACAACTTGATACAAACGAGAAACACACAAAGTCCAAAGATAAACTTACAAAGAATTCTCCCTAAGCCATTGACTCAAATGTCTGAATTCTTACCTAAATTAAGTTGCCTTCATAGGAGCTGTGGTGCTTTGGTCAACGAACACATCTTAACTTAACCACTTTAGACCACTTACTTCAGAGCCCCCCCCCCCCCCCCCCCCCACACAACCAAAAACAAAAAAAAATTTAAAAAAAAAAAACCAGAATGGTTGTTGTCATCATTGAATTTTGTCCCGTAAGGAAATTTATACCAAAAGACTTCTTTTTCTAAACCTAAATTAACTTCGGGAAAAGTTAATCCTTCTCCAGTAGTGACTGATTAGCTGGTCTTACTTTTGATCAAGAATTGTCGTGTGATAACTCATTGACAGCCACAGAACCTATTCTTTCTAAGATTGTGATTCTTTGACTTTTAGATAGATAACTGTTTTCACCGGAACAATTAATTAATTGGTTTTGGTGGTGTTCAGAAGACTAGTTATTTAAGCATCATATCTCTTGGCCTCATCAGGATGAGCAACAAAAATAACTGTGGAAATTGTTAAACTTAGTTAGGTCTCATGTGGAAATTTTTTTGTAACTTACGGTAGAAGCTGTAGAAAATTTTTTTGAAGTGTGTAATTTTTTGGATATTTTGAAATGTATAGTTTAAAAACTTTGAGAAATTTTTTGAGATTATTGCAGCTAAAATTGTTAAAAGACTTGTAGCAAACAAACTTAGCTTTGCCAAAGAAGGTTTTACTTGATTGCTGACTGCATAATACGCAAAACCAAATTTTGATTTGATTGTAAGCATGAGTTCTTGAATTCAAAATCTCCCAGTTATAAAAAAAAAAAGAGAAAAATCATAATTAGTTTGGCACTATCACTTTACTCTTTTAAACCCGCTAGTAATCATAATTAGTTTTAGTGCTACATTTTTCTGAAGCCCAGTATGATTTTCCATTATAGTTTAAACCCGCTAGTAAGATTTTTAAATTATTGCTAAACTAATGTGTTACCAAAATCTTTGCAATTTGTATCAAAAAAAAAAAATTTTTTTTTTGGAAACGAATTGACAAGGAAATTTTTGCAGCCTCATCTCTTAGTGCAAATGTGAAAAGAGAAAACATGATAACATCCTGCTTAGGTGATCTGACAAATCATGTAACCTTCCGTTTAGACAAATATGATAACTATAACGAAAGGTTTCATCACAAAAGTCCAATCGAAATAATAGCATGAAATCCAACTACACAGTACTACTAGCTCTTTTCCTAAAGCAAGACCAACTAATAAGAAAGGACAGCAGTCCAATGACCTTTTGACATCTAAAGATCAAGTAGCATGCCCAAAAATCATTTTGAACTCAAAAAACCCGCACTTCACCACGAGAAGTCACCTATTAATTCGAATTAGACATCTATCTCCCACAAAGAAAATATTAATAATAATGTTGGGATGCATTTACTCATGACCTTCTCAAATCATTTGAAGTAGAAATTTAGGGTTAATTACCATAAATCCCCTTTAGGTATGGCCTCATTCTCACCTTATTTCCTAACCTTTCAGTTGTGTCGCTTTACCTCATGAGACAAAATTGCCTCTCTTTAATCTTAATTTCGATTTTTCTTTGCCTTCTTTCCTCTTTTCTATTTTTTTTTTAATTTTCACATCGTCTCTTCATTCTAGAGCCACTAATTTCATTAGATGACTAATGAATAAAAAAAAAAGATTATTAAAAAAAGAAAATAGCAAAAGACACCATTTAATTAAAGCAAAGGGAAAGGAATTAGAGATGCTCCATTTATTTGTCATTGACGTATGATTATGAAATCAAATCATGGACGATAAGTCGGCAGAATAGACCTCAAAAAGTGGCTGAGGTCCAAAACCATGGTGGTGCTGAGTACACATTTTAACTACAAAACAAAATTGAAGATAGCGTTTGGGAAGGAAAAAAAAAATTGAAGATAGATTTCTCAGATTCAAACTTTCACCATCATGAAAAGACTTCTAGTGCTATCTTTAGCTGTAATAAAATGTAGTATATGAATTTCCCACCTAACAATTTTTTAGTTATTAAATCTTAAAGAAACCATCGTAATCCGTGACTTCCAAGTTGGAAGTTGCGTTTCCGGAAATTCATTGACTGAAGTTGATGGGAGCAGCAGCATTCTACCATTAGTCTATCCGTGTCGTGAATGGGAAGAGCACCACACCACAGGGCAAACTTTTTCTTCTTATTATAGTACAGTAGTAGTGTTTTGAGAGTACAATATGTAAACTGCA